ACACCCCTCAAAAACTCTAAAACATTATTTCTGTCATAATTCGCAACTACTGAAAAGTCTTTCAGCGCAACCCCTATATTTCTTACGGGCAGGGCTAGCTTGTTAGCCACTCAGGTATTGTTCAATTTGCAATCTTCTGATGCTCTGCTCACGCTGAATTGCTTCAACAGACCTCCAAATATCAGGGTGTTGTGCAGATATTTGCATTTCGAATCCACGATGCCACTTTTCCAATGAATTGTTTGTCTTCTGAAGACTGTGCCTTACTTGCTCGGTCCACATTTCTAGGCAGAAGCGGGGCATTCGACGTCCCATGCATCGTTGAGGACGTCCAATCAGGCAGTCCTCAAAGTAATCAGTCACACCTTGTGCTTCTTCAGGCATGCGATCACCGCTGCCGCTAAGAACCTCAAATGCTTCTACCACATCTTCTGTTGGGACAAAGGCCAAAGCAGAAAACAATCGCCTTTTCATTGCAAATTCAGTCAGTTTCGTACCTTCATTGAAGATCCTCTGCCTGAATCCTTCGGAGTATACACTGCGAGAAGTGGAAGAAACACCCTCGATGTCTAGCCCTTGGAAATTCTTGACGAATAGCACTGCCTATGGCAGGTTAGAAATCGGCCATAATTTTTTCTGGGGAGGTATCTGGTTGAAGCTGTTTTACTTTTTGAATAATCTAACATATGTGGCCTCTATCTTGTCTGGTTGTAGAGCATACAAACGCGGAATTGAACTGTTCACCTAAATACCACAGAGCGTCTAGAATTGGTAAAACAAATGAGGCACTGTTTTAAAAGTTTCGTCCCCAACCAATGCCCAGATGAGACCAGTAACCGAAGATCGGTGGAAAATATAACAATTCTATCTTCCGTCGGTTCTGAATCAAACAACAAGAACGATTCACTTTCTTTAAATATCTTGTACTCATCGGGAAATACAATTTCCTCTCGGGTTATTGGCAAAGCTGGTGCTGCTTGCTTCCTTATTCTGATGTTTCGGATCGTTCTTTTAATACTGTCGTTCTTCGCAATATGTTCTGCAGCATCCTGCGTAAGTCCCACAGACGCAACTAGATATAATATATTCGGGTGCTTCTTGGCTATTGATTGCATGGTCACGTACAATATCCTCCATCTCCAAAGCTTCTATATGAGCTG